TATAAACTCTTTGTGGAGGTGATGTACTTGGCTTGTGTCCAGTCCAGTTACATGTGAATTGACTCATATTATCAGCTTCACTAAGAAGACAAGACCAGGAAATTAACTCTACAGGAAGCTTAAAACTACCTACTCCATCTTATACTCCAATAAATTAATTGGATGTCTGCCTGAGCTGCTTCCAAATGTTATCTCATTGTTCTGGAGTTGTTTCAGCTTTTTTTGTCTAGGAAAAAAATGAGTGGGATAAACAAATACACTTTTATAGATTTTTACATTATAATAAGAATTCAGAGTAAATTCACAACAATAAGGCACAATTATTTCTATTCTTTTATTATAACCCCATAATTATATTTCCAAATGCTTCTTTCTGTTACATTGATACTTAACTTAGTTTACATCTATGGAACCCTTGATGCTCTCTGAGTTGCTTGTTTGCTTGCAGACATTTAATTACCTGACTAGGTAACACCATCAGCAGCCCAGTTCCTGCAGTCTACTCAAAAGGATAAATAATCTGGAGTACAGATGTGGTTGCTGGTGGGGGGACCTCAAACTTATCTTGCCCTGGTGTATTTGCCTCTGCTTCAACTCACCTCTTCCTGTTGCAAAAGGCTAGCAGCTGCCTCAACCAGATGTGCCCCAGCAGCATCTGGAAGAAGATGGCAAAGGCAGTGGAGGGCAGCAGCGGTAGGCAGTGGTGGAATGTAAGTTGGCCAAAAGGGGGGAAATGGGGGGGGCATGAGATAGCTGGGTGGGCAGTTGAAGCACACACTGCAGTACTAAATGCGGCTGGTTAGCAAGTGCCCAAATTTTGATAATGTGACCGTGGGAGTGCTGCAATGCAGCTTTGAGGACCGGTCATAACTAAGCATTTTTTCATTGCTGTCATAACTTCAAACAATCGCTGAATGAATGGTCATTAAGTGAGGACTGTGATAGTAGAAGCCAAGTTTATTTTCTGTAGAATTTCCTGCCTCCCTCCCTCCCACCCTTTTTATGCATTCACCATTTGTAGCAGATGAACAATGCTGACAAGATGTTGGAGATTAATCTTGAAGAGAAGCAGATAAAGGGCACCAGGTCACATTTCTTTTCAGGCAATTTGCATTGGCAGTAGCAGAGTTCATTCAGTTTTCCTTTCCTGCCACCCTATACTGACATAACAGGCCTAAGTGAAATTGAATGTCACAACAAGTGTTTTGCTTTCCCTTATGGGAGAGAATGCAAAGATCTAAATAGTTCTTTCATTTAAATGAAGATTAAGGTCTCAAGGCAGTGGTTTGATTGAGTGTAACTCTTTTAGTTCCCATTATTGGAGCTGCTGAGCTGTTCTTTGCTTAATTGGCAGCTAGAAATATATTTGGTACATCTGTAAATGCAAATGAAAAATGTTCTTGCAGTTATCAGTAAGCAATGATTTCACTACTAAAAAAAATAGGAAATGTTCCATTTTCTTGCTAAAAGTGTGTGTATAACTTTTTAAAAAGATGATTTGGGATGTGTATTTTTCATGGTGAATGTGGCTATTATTTTTTTAAGCTTATAGATAGTTGGTTAAACGCTCTGATAAAATAGATATTTAATGAGCATGGCAAAAGTCATTCAGAATAAATAAGGACAGAATTAAATAAATGCAATATTAAAAGCAATCTTTCAAATTATACACAAAGCAAAAGAAGTTCTAAAATGCCTTCATAGCTAGAAAGACTATAACAAGAACTGTACTTGACTACAGTGCAATTAATGACAATAATATCAATTAGAATTCAGGATAATATGACAATTATCTAGGTTTCTGCTGTAAGGACTGATACTGAAGAAGAGGAAGTTATTGAATTTTATGTTCAAATTCAGATTGAAATCGACAGAATATGCAAGCAAAGTATGCTGTTTGTAGTTGGAGACTGGAATTCCAAAGTTGGAAATATTAAGGAGAAAAAGGTAATTGTATCATCTAGGAAACTGAAATGAAGCAGGAGACTGCTTTAGCAATTTCAGCCAGTACAATGGTGTTTTTTTTCCATTGCTTAACACAGTCATTATGAGACTCTGGAAAGAGTGCCGAGAAGAGCAACAAGAATAATTAGGGTACTGGAGGCGAAAACATATGAAGAACAGTTACAGGAATTAGATATGTTTAAAAGAAGGACTAGGGGAGACATGATAGCAGTGTTCCAATATTTGAGGGGGTCCTACAAAGATGAGAGGGTCAGTCTATTTTCCAAAGCACCAAAAGGTAAGACAAGAAACAATAGATGGAAACTATCCAAGGAGAGAAACAACTTAGAACTAAGAGAGAAATTGCCTAACGGTGAGAGCAATCAACCAATGGAATAGTTTGCCTATAGAAGTTGTGGGCGCGCCATCACTGGAGGCTTTCCAAAAGAAATGGTATAGGATCTCCTGCTTCTACCATTTGTCTGGTTGGACTAGAAGACCTCCAAGGTCCCTTCCAACTCTGTTTTATTTTATGTTCTATTAAATTACCAAAATGATGCTTATATGCATGGACATTACCAAGTAGAGTACTGTACATAGAAATCAAATTGACTATATTAGTGATAAAAGGAAGTGAAAGAGTTCAGTTATAATGCAAAGGGATGATGGTGAAACAGATGACACATTTTTTCATGTGTAAGTTCTAGATTAAGCTAAAGTGGAAGAAGAAAGCCAATTTCCGTGATATGATCTTGAGCATACACCCATCATTTTCAAAAAGAATATCAGGAATCACTTTGAAGTCCTCTATCTTATTGTTTAGGAACCAGAGAATGTGGAATGAATCAAAGAAATTGTCAAGGAGGAGGGTTAAAAAAACTCAAGAAGAAAAAGGGAAGAAATAAAAGAAAACAAACTGGGTGTTAGAACAAACTATGAAACTTACCAAGAAAAAAACCCCCAACATTTACCCCCCCTCCACAAAAAAAAATCTGGAATCAATTTAATATAAGAATTAAAATGATCAGAAAGTTGTTAGAAGAGGTAAAAACCAATATTACAGCAAATGCAATGACACTGAAGATGGAAACAGAACAGGAAAAACAAATACTCTTCCAAAAGATCTCTGAACCCAGAAGGAGGTTCCAACTTCAAACTGATATGCTAAAGGAAGCCATTGGACAGATAGTAATTGATTCAAAGAAGACCAAACAAAGATGGAAGGAGCATACTGAAATTCTTATACAGTAGAGATGCCAACAATGAGACACCCTAAAAGATATCTTTTACACCTTAAAAGATATCTTTTAAGTGTAGTACTAGATTCTTTAGTACTAGAATATTGTTAGATCAGTACTCTACTCTGTACATTACCAAGTCAGAAGGTTGCAGGAATTAATGGAATATCTACAGAAGCAAGGCAAGTAATGTAAGAAAATGAGTAAAAGTTCTAACCAAGTTCTAAATAAGCTATGCCAGAAAATCCGGAGAATGATATACCCAACAAGACTGCAAGAGGTCAATTTATATACCAATACCAAGAAAGGAGCATTCACAAATTGTACAAAATACTGTACAATATCCTTAATTGCATATGTCAGCAAAATAATGCTTAGGATCATTCTCAGCAGATTAGAGTCCTACGTGAAAAGGGAGATGCCAGATGTTTAAGCTTGCCTTAGAAGGGCTGAGGAACACAAATCTTATTGCTGATGCAGGCTGGATAATTGAGAAAGTCAAACAATACAATAAACACACTAACCTAATTGATTATAGAAAGGCCTTCAATTGTGTCAGTCAAGTCAAATTGTTGAATGTGCTTAGAAAAATGGGTATGCTAAAATATTATTGTCCTCAACTGAAACTTACATACCAGTCAGGAAGTCAAAATACAGACAACATTGGTAAAAGAGTTTGGATCCAGGTTGGTAAAGGAGTAAGGTAAGACATATTCTCCCCTTATTTATTCAACTCATATATCTTGAGGGAAGCTAGATTGGAAGAAGGTGAGCGATTTAGAAATGAGGAACATATGTCAATAACTGTAACTACATTACTCCTATAGCTCAAATTGCCAATGATTTGCAAGTTTGAGTAATAAAAGTCAGGACCACAGGGAAAATGGGATTAAGATTAAATACATAGAAGACCAAACTAATGATAATAGATATAGCAACCATCCTTAAAATCAGCATTGAAACTGAAATGATGGATAATTTCTGCTTTTTAGGATTAGTCAGTAACAATAAGAGAGCCAGTTTGGTGTGGTGGTTAAGGCAATAGGGCTAAAAACTGAGACTTTGAGTTCTAGTCCCTGCTTGGATTTGAAGCCAGCTGGATGACCTTGGGCCAGTCACTTTCTCTCAGCCTAGGAAGGAGGCCATGGCAAACCACTTTTCAAAAACCTTTCCAAGGAAATTGCAGGAGCTTGTCCAGGCAGACTCCAAGAATCAGACACAGTTGAATGAAAAAAAAAAGTAAAGGATGAAGCAGTCAAGCAGGCAATTGAGTGCATTGTTGGAAGACTTGAAGGACTAAGTTGAACATAGATTTTCCGGCAGAAATGTGGTCACAAGGAATAATCAATGGCTTATTGAAACATAATCAGTCATCTAAAACCAGAATTGTTATTTCAATATTGTAATAAGATTTTTGAAAGTGGAAAATATCTGTAGCTCGGGTGTAGGATGAAGGTGAAGGTTCGTTCTCTGAGCTTTAGCAGAATGACCCTGACCTGATATAATCTCCCCATCACAAGACCCGTTACCAGCCTCCCACTGATGACTCACTCCTGACCCACTAATTCACACCCTCCAGTGACCCTGACCTGAAGTACCTCCCCATCACAATGACTCCCTTTCTGATGACTCCCACCTGGCCCATCACAAGACCCTCACTTGACACTCCCACACTCCCCTTATATAAGTAGAACACTGCACAGACATCCCCTAAACACCACTGAAGATGTTATCTAGCCTGGTAATGAAACCAAACCTTCAAGCTCGGAGACGAATCTTCACCCTCACTTTTGAAAGTGTCAGGTTTAATTGGAGACTATGAGGGTGGAGAGTGGCTTGGAATCTGTTTCAGGAAGCATAATGTCTTTCCTGGCACTGCTCAGTGTGAAAATCCTCAGTGAGTTAGAGCAATATGAAAATAGATCTCTCTGGCAACTGGTGTATGTCTTCAAATTCAATTTCTATCTTTTCCTAGTAATGGGAATTGAACTCCAATACACTTGGACATCACTTGGGCTAGCTGGGTAATTTTAACTTCATAACAAAACAACTTTCTAGCACCTGAGATGTATAGACTTCTATGGTTTGATGATAATTGTTTAAAAAGTATAGAAGATGTCAGGACACATAATAGCATGTTCATGAGAATGAAAGAGTTTTGATTATGGTATATTTGGCAGTCAGATTAGGACCTATGGCTACATCTGATATTGTGATGAAAATTGGTAAAGCTAATAATGCAACTGGTCAACATTTCAAACTAATAATTTCTTGAATAAAGTCTCACCTCCAATGTTAATATAGCCATAAGCCCCCCCCCCTCTCTATGCAGTTTTTTTTATCTCCTAGAGATATAGATGAGATGGGTGGCACACAAATCTAATAAACAAGTAGCTTTAATTTTCAAAGCTATTAAAATAGATCCAAGATTAAACATATTGAGTTATTAACACACTCCAATATATTATGAACTGGCCTTTTTAAAAAATAAGTGCAAAATAAATAACATTTCTACAGAACAACAGGCAGGTGTTTTGGAACCACAGTATCTCATGTTTATTTGGCTTCTTAGTAGGAGGGTGCCCACAGAATGTTGATACCCTAACATTTTCTGCTCTTTTCTGTATAGATTATTTTACACAAAGTATGCAGTGTATGATCTTGTCTTCAGCTGCTGTTTTCAAATTACTGAACTGAACCTCACTATTTCTCACAACTCTGCTGTAGCAAATGCAGACTTTGGGTTTACAGCAGGCTTTTTTCAGTTCTGTGTGTTCTTGAGTTCCTTTTTTTTTTTTTAGTCTTTAAATTCAATCTGAGAAACACCTTCACTGATCCTGCGGGCGTTGTTCTTTTCATGAGGAAATCCTAAATCTAGCAGTGAAGCTCTCTTGCCTGACTTAAAAGTACCATCTCGTCTGAAGATTAATCTCTCTTCCCCTCACTTCTTTTTTAAAGATTCATCTTCCAACTACATCAGACAACTTGAAACAAAAGTCAAATTGCTAGAGGATGATAACAAACTTCTCTCTCAGGTAGGTGGCTCTTCATGTTCCCCAATATTATTTGTTTAATAAATAACCATGTTTTTGTCCTTAGCAATGGATTAAACTGACCCTGAGAATTAAGAAGAACCCATATCTTCTACCAGCAATAATGGGACTGATGCAAGACTAACTTTTTTTTTATTTTGTTAAGCATTTGGGCAATATATTGTAAACATTTAACATATAAACAAACAAGAGAGGCAGTTAAGAAGAATAAAAGAATATGCTTTCCAGTTGGATGGAAAAATGTGCTGAACAAATTTCTAGGAGGGTGGTATCTATTTCAAAATGTTCTTGTTAAATTTTGTTAAAAGGAAAGTTTCCAAAGATAAAAAGTTGGCTTTTTTCTCCCCCTAAGTATGCATGTCAAGATTGTGGGGAGTGTCAAACTCTGGGAGACTCCCTCAGATTCCAAAATTGCAGACTTACCCATGCATGTTTGTCATCAAAGATGCTGTTTGCAACAACCTCAGGTTTAAAACCAAGTCCCCATCCCCAGGATATACACAGTAATCCATGGGGGGGGGGGGGAGGTTAACTCTTCCTCCTCTTTATGTTCCACATTGAACAAATTCTAAGAGAAAAAGTATTTTCTAAAATTGAAGCTTACACTTTGCTTACTCCTGCTGATTCTTATATTATGCCAAATTTAATAATTTTATTTAAAGATAAATTACTTTGGAGATGTTTAAAGATTACGGAACATGCTGTTAGGGATTGGGAAGGGGGCATTACTTTCCTTTCTGGCATATCTTAGGTCAAGTTGGCCATTCCCAACCTGCTTAATTTCACTCCCAGGGTATCTTCATATAGCTACAGTTAAAAGTTCAGTTCTTTTTGCATCTACCAACCTAAAGTCTCCTCCCATTTAAATTTACCAGTTTCATCATCCTCTTATGTAATTTTTCCTTACAGTAAATAAACTCATTCTTAGTAGCATTACAGAAAATTATGAAGCTTGCTTCTAGATCCTGAATTATGACTTTTGTTTTAACCTAGATTGTGTGGCCACAAAATTTAATGGTTCTGCCATATATTAGACCATTGGGACATAACACTCCTCTATCACCTACTCTGAATGGCAAGTCTTTGGATTAAAGGAAATGTTGTTTACTAAATATTCAACAGGATATACTCAATATGCAATAGGATATGAGCTTAAATTTGAAATCTTTCATATGGATGCTTCTTTCCCACTTACTGCAAACACCACTAGCTTTTTAGTAAGTGTAGAATTGACACTTAGAGATGAGGACTGAGTTCCCAAATCATGCTAAACCATAAAATGTATTCAGTTTCAGGGAATAGGTTTTGCTTATTCAGCTAATTATAGTCTATTAAATAAACTTTGTTCAGAAAAACCTTGATATAATGAAGTTAAAAACCAGATATAAATATCATAACTTCAAGATCTAATATAAAATTTAAGGGGAAGAACTTTTAGGGTATAAATGGTCAGAATGCAAAAATTATTGGAACTTGCATGTTCTGTTTATTTTTTTATGCATAATTTCTCAAAGCCTAGATTCACATAATAGACTAAGTCATAACACGGCTTGTTTAGGTTTGTCCTAGTGCATTGTTTTAATCCAGTCCCTCTCAGTTGAATGGAACTTACTGAGTTAAAGATAAACATAGTATATATTTAGTATATATCTTTTCATTCAGAATCTCAGGGCAGTGTACATATCCTCCTATTTATATTCCACAATAACAACCCTGTGAGGTATGTTTGGCTGAAAGAGAATGATTGGATCAAAGTGAGCTTCCATACTGTGGGTAGACTTGAACTTGAGTCTCTACTCCTAGCCCAGCACCTTAAGCGTCAATCTGGACGTATGTAAGCATTTCACAATTTCTGTTGAAATACATATGATTTTTAAGGAGCAACATTACATTTTAATTTTTTGTAGTGTACTAGTTATTTTTTCAAACTGTATTTTTTCTTTTTGAGTAAGGAATATGACTTTTAAAAATAGAGTTGAACAAATTGTCTGGAAGCATGGATTGGGTTGTTGTAATTGGCTTCCAGTTCAATATACTCTTGAGCCTATGTTTTCCTAACTTAGATGAATTACAAAAGGAAGAGTACAATAAGGAACGATAAGTAATAGGTGAAAAGCACATGGGCAACAAAAATACCCTACTACATAGGAATATGTTTTTTTAGTAGGCTAAGATTTTTGCTTAGCAGCTGGACCTCAGATTCAACAAAAGTTTGAATGAAAAATTCTTTGATCTTATAGGGTTTCTTGAATTCCTCAGTACTTGCTCTGACTGAGGAATTCCCTAGTGTTTAGATTGGAAGCTCTTTGGCCCTAGGTCCATTTAAATATATATTTTATAGGGCATTGTGAAAGAAAAGAGTAGATAGCAACATGAAAAGAACAAGAAATGAGATCTGTATCAACCTATATGACAATTTAGTACAAAATGTTTTATTGAAGATTACAGACTTTTTGCTCCCTTCTTGCTTGATCACCCGTTTTTTGATTCCTCTCCACAATTGTCAGTGAAAATTATGTGGCCCCTAAGCTTGCTCAGCTGTCTCTGATCTATTTCTGTACTCTCTCCCTTTTAGTATGCTGTTGTCTATTCTTCTTGTACTTCTGCAAAGCTTGAGGTTTCCCCTAAATATCTCTCTTTTGTGCATAGTGATGCCATTTTGACTGATTCTGAGCATCAGATGCAGAAGAATAACCTGTGGCCCTGCATGTGGGATAAAGCCCATCTCTTGGCTATGTGGATGATTGGTTGAATAATGCTTGGCAGCCATGTGTTTTATCTTCATTTATTTTGTACTGTATTGTGTATTTTATGTATTTTATTGTAAGCCATCTAGAATCACATAAAAGTGAGATGGGTGGCTACATAAATTGAATGAATATAAATCAAAATAAATAACAGTAATAATAATAAAAAGAAGAAATTTGCTTCAGTTTGTATGCATTGCTTTTGTACTAGGGTTTTGGCATCCCTTTGAAAAATTAGCAGGAGATTTTGGGAGAAGAAGAGAAAAAGCCATTCCTTAAAACAAACTTGTGGAATTTATAGAATATTGTGCCCTCTATTGTTAGAACCGTGGCAGTTACTAAGGTAATCAGAGCTTTTGTGCTATAGCTCCTTAATGAGAACTTTAGGCAATCCTATGAATAGGGGATAAAGCGGAAATTGGTATTGGCCAAATGAGGCCTGCTTTCCATTGGGCAGGAACTACCTGCTTAGAGTAGAATGGTATGGAAGGCAGCAAGTTAAATTAGAAGTTTCTGCAGCTCATTGTTTCTCTTTAATGGCTATCTAGATTTTTGCTGCTCAGTTATGGTCATCTAAGTCTTGGTTGTCCTCCAGAAACCTGAAGAAGAGGTGAGCTGGTATATTCTTCCCTGATAAGGAGCAGTTCTCAGTGTGGTAAGGTAAACAGTGCAGGGGTGTCTCAGAGGGGGAGGGGCTGGGAGCCCTAGTGCAGACCATTCATGTGTGTCTCTCTGTTCAGGGGCTTAGATTTTGACAGTAGGATTTTCAGCTCCTGAGTAGAGAGATAATGATGCATGGTCTCTATTGACCACCCAGGGTCTCCCCCATCCCTTGGAGACACTCCATGCTCCTTAATTGGGACTCTGTCCACTTAATGACCCACAAGACCACTTAGTTCAACCCACTTTATAGGTTTGTTGTTGTGAGGAAAAGAATAGGAGGAGGAAGGTGTGTTGGATATGTTTGCTGTCTTGAGCTATTTTAAAAATAATAATGGCGGGATACAAATTAATTCATTCTCTCACATGTCTATTAATTAAAATTACTAAATTATGGGAACTTCTCTAGAAGAGATCCTGGAAAAAACACTGGTCACAGATCTGTGATCAAAGATCAACTGACCTGACTTGGTCTGAGGCAACTTTTTTTGGTAACTACAGAGATCCAGATTATTTCTTGCATATAGTTATATTGCTGGATATCTAAATAATATTATAATACCACTGCTGCTGTTCCAGCTGCATAGTTTTTCATTTTGTAGCATTTAGAATCATGTAATTATCAACATTTTTTGAACTAATAAAAGAAATGATTGAATAATGAAAAAAATCAGTCAAATCCAAAAATGGAAGAGTTTGCTTGTTAGTCAAGGATATCTCTGCATGTGCAGGGGTGAGATCTTAAGAAAAATAAATTGACAGATATATATCAAGAGTATCTGTAACAACACAAAAGGAAATCAGAGGAGGTTCTGGCAAATGTCCTTTTATTTACATGACCCACATTCTGTCGCTATGTGTTGAAAGATTACAGAGCCGTCTGGAGGCATGGAAGCACATTTAGAAATATTACGCTTTTTCAGATGGGGATGGTGAGTGGAAGGAGATACAAAGGAGAGCTTGATACATTATGGAGCAGTCTATGCGCAGGTCAAATAATACGTTTCCTGAGTGAAGCATCCATGAGGAGAGAATCTCTGTGTCCTGAGGATTCTGTACAACAGAGATCTTTAAAACAAAAAGCTTGCAATGTAGTTTGCAGCCAAAAGATCAAATTACTTGGACTTACTTGACTACTATAGAGTATTCAGTTTGCTTCTGCAGTTTAGCCCTTGGAAAGATGCCAGCTAGACTTCCATAATCACTACCGACTTGCTAATCTCTTAATGCAAGGCATTGTTGAATGCTTAGTACCTCTGATTTCATCACTTTTAGGGTCCTGTCAACACAGTTCTCCGCCAGGAAGCAATCAACTTTCTAAAAAACATAAAATGTCATCACGGAAGGATAAAAGATACAGGGATCAGACTTCTTTTCAATTGTTGGCTCTGTTAGCATTTCAAGCTTTGAAGGAGAGTTCACAATTCATATTTGTATTGACTTGTTTCCTTGAACCAAACAAAACCAAACAGAAAACTCCAAAAGTGGCTTTTAAAAGGCAGTGCTCAGAAGGATGGAAAACAACTTGACTCATCTCCATACAGTTAACTTTTAGGATAGGGCTTCTTATGAGCA